CTTGTTCTTGCTATTTCGCGAACGCTAGGCCATTGCTCTTGCTATTTTGCACTTGCTAGGCCCTTGTTCTTGCAATTTTGCACACACTAGGCCCTTGTTCTTGCAATGTTGCACATGCTAGGCCCTTGTTCTTTTTATTTTGCACACGCTAGGCCCTTGTTCTTTTTATTTTGCACACGCAAGGCCCTTGTTCTTGCTATTTTGCACACGCTAGGCCCTTGTTCTTGCTATTTTGCATACCCTATGCCCATGTTCTTGCATTTTTGCACACGCTAGGCCCTTGTTCTTTTTATTTTGCACACGCTAGGCCCTTGTTCTTGCTATTTTGCAAACGCTATGCCCTTGTTCTTTATATTTTGCACACGCTAGGCCCTTGTTCTTGCAATTTTGCACATGCTAGACCCTTGTTTTTTTTATTTTGCACACGCTAGGCCCTTGTTCTTGCTTTTTCGCGAACGCTAGGCACTTGTTCTTGATTTTTTGCACAGGCTAGGCCCTTGCTCTTGCTAATTTGCACTCGCTATGCCCTTGTTCTTGCAATTTTGCACAGGTTAGGCCCTTGTTCTTGCAATTTTGCACACGCTAGGCCCTTGTTCTTTTTATTTTGCACACACTAGGCCCTTGTTCTTGCAATTTTGCACACGCTAGGCCCTTGTTCTTTTTATTTTGCACACGCTAGGACATTGTTTTTTTTAATTTTGCACACGCTAGGTCATTCTTCTTACTATTTTGCACACGCTATGCCCTTGTTCTTTTTATTTTGCACACGCTAGGCCCTTGTTCTTGCAATTTTGCACATGCTAGACCCTTGTTCTTTTTATTTTGCACTCACTAGGCCCTTGCTCTTGATTTTTGCGAACGGTAGGCCCTTGTTCTTGATTTTTTGTACATGCTAGGCGCTTGCTCTTGCTATTTTGCACTCGCTACGCCCGTGTTCTTGCAATTTTGCACATGCTAGGCCCTTGTTCTTACAATTTTGCACACGCTAGGCCCTTGTTCTTTATATTTTGCACACGCTAGGCCCTTGTTCTTTTTATTTTGCACACGCAAGGCCCTTGTTCTTGCTATTTTGCACACGCTATGCCCTAGTTCTTTTTATTTTGCACACGCTAGGCTCTTGTTCTTGCAATTTTGCACATGCTAGACCCTTGTTTTTTTTATTTTGCACACGATAGGCCCTTGTTCTTTGAATTTTGCACACGCTAGGCCCTTGTTCTTGCTATTTTGCACATGCTAGACCCTTGTTCTTTTTATTTTGCACACGCTATGCCCTTGTTCTTTTTTTTTTGCACAAGCTAGGCCCTTGTTCTTGCAATTTTGCACATGCTAGACCCTTGTTCTTTTTATTTTGCACACGCTAGGCCCTTGTTCTTGCAATTTTGCACATGCTAGATCCTTGTTTTTTATATTTTGCACACGCTATGCCCTTGTTCTTTTTATTTTGCACACGCCAGGCCCTTGTTCTTGCAATTTTGCACATGCTATACCCTTGTTCTTTTTATTTTGCACACGCTAGGCCCTTGTTCTTGCTATTTCGCGAACGCTAGGCCCTTGTTCTTGATTTTTTGCACACGCTAGGCCCTTGCTCTTGCTATTTTGCACTCGCTAGGCCCTTGTTCTTGCAATTTTGCACAAGCTAGGCTCTTGTTCTTGCAATTGTGCACACGCTAGGCCCTTGTTCTTTATATTTTGCACATGCTAGGCCCTTGTTCTTTTTATTCTGCACACGCTAGGCCCTTGTTCTTGCTATTTTGCACACGCTATGCCCTTGTTCTTGCAATTTTGCACACGCTAGTTCCTTGCTCTTGCTATTTTGCGAACGCTAGGCCCTTTTTCTTGATTTTTTGCACACGCTAGGCCCTTGCTCTTGCTATTGTGCACTTGCTAGGCTCTTGTTCTAGCAAAATTGAACATGCTAGGCCCTTGTTCTTGCAATTTTACACACGCTTGGCCCTTGTTCTCATTACTTTGCACACGCTAGGCCCTTGTTCTTTTTATTTTGCACACGCTAGGCCCTTGTTCTTGCTATTCTGCACACGCTATGCCCTTGTTCTTTTTATTTTGCACACGCTATGCCCTTGTTCTTGTAATTTTGCACATGCTAGACCTTTGTTCTTTTTATTTTGCACATGCTAGACCCCTGTTCTTGCTCTTTCGCGAACGCTAGGCCCTCGTTCTTGATTTTTTGCACACGCTAGGCCCTTGCTCTTGCTATTTTGCACTTGCTAGGCCCTTGTTCTTGCAATTTTGCACACGCTAGGCCCTTGTTCTTGCAATTTTGCACATGCTAGACACTTGTTCTTTTTATTTTGCACACGCTAGGCCCTTGTTCTTGCTATTTCGCGAACGCTAGGCCCTTGTTCTTGATTTTTTGCACAGGCTAGGCCCTTGCTCTTGCTATTTTGCACTCGCTAGGCCCTTGTTCTTGCAACTTTGCACAGACTAGGCCCTTGTTCTTGTAATTTTGCACACGCTAGGCCCTTGTTCTTTTTATTTTGCACACAGTAGGCCCTTGTTCTTGCAATTTTGCACACGCTAGGCCCTTGTTCTTTTTATTTTGCACACGCTAGGACCTTGTTATTTTTATTTTGCACACGCTAGGTCATTCTTCTTGCTATTTTGCACACGCTATGCCCTTGTTCTTTTTATTTTGCACACGCTAGGCCCTTGTTCTTTTTTTTTTGCACACGCTAGGCCCTTGTTCTTGCTATTTTGCAAACGCTATGCCTTTGTTCTTCATATTTTGCACGCGCTAGGCCCTTGTTCTTGCTCTTTCGCGAACGCTAGGCCCTTGTTCTTGATTTTTTGCACACGCTAGGCCCTTGCTCTTGCTATTTTGCACTCGCTAGGCCTTTGTTCTTGCAATTTTGCACATGCTAGGCCCTTGATCTTGCAATTTTGTACACGCTAGGCCCTTGTTCTTTTTATTTTGCACACGCTAGGCCCTTGTTCTTTTTATTTTGCACACGCTAGGCCCTTGTTCTTGCTATTTTGCAAATGCTATGCCCTTGTTCTTTATATTTTGCACACGCTAGGCCCTTGTTCTTGCAATTTTGCACATGCTAGACCCTTGTTTTTTTTATTTTGCGAACGCTAGGCCCTTGTTCTTGATTTTTTGCACAGGCTAGGCCCTTGCTCTTGCTATTTTGCACTCGCTAGGCCCTTTTTCTTGCAATTTTGCACAGGCTAGGCCCTTGTTCTTGCAATTTTGCACACGCTAGGCCCTTGTTCTTTTTATTTTGCACACGCTAGGACCTTGTTCTTTTTATTTTGCACACGCTAGGTCATTCTTCTTGCTATTTTGCACACGCTATGCCCTTGTTCTTTTTATTTTGCACACGCTAGGCCCTTGTTCTTGCAATTTTGCACATGCTAGACCCTTGTTCTTTTTATTTTGCACACGCTAGGCCCTTGCTCTTGATTTTTGTGAACGGTAGGCCCTTGTTCTTGATTTTTTGTACACGCTAGGCGCTTGCTCTTGCTATTTTGCACTCGCTAGGCCCTTGTTCTTGCAATTTTGCACACGCTAGGCCCTTGTTCTTGCAATTTTTCACACGCTAGGCCCTTGTTCTTTGTATTTTGCACACGCTAGGCCCTTGTTCTTGCTATTTCGCGAACGCTAGGCCCTTGTTCCTTATTTTTTGCACACGCTAGGCCCTTGCTCTTGCTATCTTGCACTCGCTAGGCCCTTGTTCTTGCAATTTTGCACACGCTAGGTTCTTGTTCTTGCAATTTTGCACACGCTAGGCCCTTGTTCTTTTTATTTTGCACACGCTAGGCCCTTGTTCTAATTATTTTGCACACGCTAGGCCCTTGTACTTGCTCTTTGCACACGCTATGCCCTTGTTCTTTTTATTTTGCACACGCTAGGCCCTTGTTCTTGCAATTTTGCACATGCTGTCAGATTATATGTAGCTGATGCATGTATTGTAGGCTGTAGTGGGGTAGCTCATATGGGGTACAACCCAATTAGGGTTGGTACTTGTACTTGTTTCATTTTGATAGTGCCATTCACTTTCCTCTCAACTCAACATGGTATAGAGCGGGTCCTTCCTAAGGACTATTGTTTAAGGGCCCACCCACGAAATTTTCGCTGCCCGGAGCGCGCCCTTCGCTCCTCGAAGCGCGCTCCCCCCTTAGTCCTTCTCGTGCTGCCCTTGTGGCCCCCGTGAGTCTCGCGCGCGACCTTTTTTTTCGCGCGCGTGGCCTGGGCCACGTCTTGCTGGCCTTACTGCTGCGTCGCGCCGCCCTCGCGGCCCCCTAGCGCCGCCCCAGCGGCCTCCTCGCCTGTCTCTGCAGGCCCCGCCGTCGCACCTGCCGGCCCCGCCGCTGCACCCGACGGCTCCGCCGTCCCCTCCGCCGGCCCCGCTGCTGCACCCGACGGCTCCGCCGTCCCCCTTTGTCGGCCCCCGCCGCTGCATCCGACGGCTCCGCCGTCCCGCTTTGCCGGCCCCGCCGCTGCACCCGACGGCTCCGCCGTCCCCTTTACCGGCCCCGCCGCTGCACTTGACGGCTCAGCCGTCCCCTCTACCGGCCCCGCCGCTGCACCTGACGGCCCCTCCGCCGTCCCTTTCTGACGGCCCCGCCGTCCCCTTTTGCCGGCCCCACAACTGCACCTGACGACCCCGCCGTCCCCTTTCTGACGGCCCCGCCACTACCCCTGACGGCCCCGCCACTGCATCTCCCGGCCCAACAGCCCCAGCAACTGCGCCGCCTCAGCAGCCGAGCCGCCCCAGCAGCCGAGCCGTCCCAGCAGCCGAGCCGCCCCAGCGGCCGAGCCGCCCCAGCAGCCGAGCCGCCCGAGCCGCCGAGCCGCCCGAGCCGCCCAGCAGCCGAGCCGCCGTGGCAGCCGAGCCGCCCCTGCAGCCGAGCCGCCCCAGCAGCCGAGCAGCCGAGCCGCCGAGCCGCCCGAGCCACCCGAGCTGCCCGAGCCCCTTGCACTGCCCTGTCTGGTGAGCACTGAGCTTTCCTCTGCGCACTGCCCTCACCCTACTGCTGTCATGGCTACCCCCAGTGTCCTCACCTTTGACGCTGAGGGCAGGGCCATCGACTTTGACGTGTGGGTAGACGATCTGCTGCTTTTCCTACAGTGCGACAGAGCTGACGGCCTCTCTCTCTTTGATCTCACTTCTGGTGCCTCTCTCGCCCCTGCTGCTACTGAGGATGCCACTGTTCGCTCACAGTGGGCCACACGCGATGCTGCTGCACGTCTTGCTGTGCGTCGCCACCTCCGCCCCGCTGAGCGTGCACACTTTGGGTCGTACAAGAGTGCTAAGACCTTGTACGACGCCGTTATTGCACGCTACTCCACCCCTGCCACTGCTGCACTGAGCCGCCTCATGCTACCGTACCTCTTTCTCGACCTTGCTGCTTTTGCCACAGTCGCCGACCTCATTACCCACCTGCGCACTAGTGACGCTCGCTTCCGCGCTGCATTTCTCGCTGAGTTCTGCGCCAAGAACCCCCCCCCCCCCCCAGTACTTCACTCTCTACTACATAGTCACCCGCCTCCCTGACTCCCTTCGAGGAGTCAGGGACGACTTACTCTCAGTCTGCCCCACCACTCTCACCGTTGAGCTCCTCGAGAAGTCCCTCCTAGCGGCCGAGAAGAGCATTCTCGCTGTAGGGGCCTCTCGTGGTGACCCGCGCACCCCCATCTTTGAGGGGTGTTCCCCCTCCCCCCTCCTGCCCTCTGTCGCCTCTGCTGCCACGGCCGACCTCGTTGGTTTTGAGTCGGTCGGTGCGGCGTCTGCCCCCAGTTGGAGACGTCGCTCTGGCAAGAGCAAGGGGGGCGGGGCGGTGGGGGAGGCGGCGGGGGCGATGGAGGCGGCGGTGGAGGCAGCGGAGGAGGTGAGGGTGGTAGCGGGAGTGGCGGCGGGAGTGGAGGTGTCAGCGGCGGCAGTGGAGGCGGGGGCGGCAGTGGCGGTGGTGGTGGGGGTGGAGGCGGAGGCGGTGGTGGTGGCGGCGACGGTGGGGGTGGCGGTGGCGGTGGAGGTGGTGGCGGCGGCGCCGGAGGAGGCGGCGGAGGGGGCGGCGGCAGTCGTGGCTCGTCGCGGAGGAGTGGCTCCGGTGGTGGTCAGCGCCAGCAGCAGCAGCGTGGTCAGGAGACCCTCTCCCCGCAGCAGCTCCGTGAGTGGTACGCTGCACGTCAGAGGGGTGGGGGTCCTAGTCCGTGCACCTACGTCCTGCGCACTGGTGACCGTGCGGATGAGCTGTGTGGTGGTCCACACTCCGCTCAGCACTGCTTCGGCCGCCTGACTGACGCTTGGCGCCGCCACTTTCCTGACGCCTCTGAGATCCCTCGCTGGGACCAGCTGTATAGGGCAGGAGTAGCTATCTTTGATCTTGACTTTGATGCTATTCTTCGTGCCATGTATGCTGTAACTATTAGTGAGGAGGGTGACTGTTACCGGTGTTTCCCGCCCGACCCGGGCATTGGTACTGCGGCTCCAGGTGCTGTTGAGGCTGCTACTCCAGGTGCTGTTGAGACTGCTGCGCTAGGTGCTGTTGCGGCTGCTGCTCTAGGTGCCAGTGAGTCTGTGTCCCCAGGTGCTGGTGAGTCTGCTCTCTCAGGTACAGCGTCCGCTCCGCCCTCTCTCACCTTCACTCTTGACTCAGGAGCGTCTCGCTCCTTCTTTCGAGACCGCACCACACTCACGCCGCTTAGTCGGCCTGTGGCGGTCTCCCTTGCGGACCCCTCTGGGGGTCCTGTTCTGGCTCGCTACTCCACTGTCCTTCCGTGCCCTGCGGTCCCGTCTGGCTCCCTGTCCGGTCTCTACCTCCCCTCGTTTTCTACGAACTTGGTGGCGGGTGCTGACCTCCAGGATGCAAGGGTTGACCAGTTCACCCCTGCACGCCGACGAGACACCCACTGCACGGACGCGGACACGGGTCGACACTTGACCACGTTCACACGTGGGCCGGCGTCGAGCCTGTACACCCTCACTGTTCCGTCTCCTCCTCCTGCGTCTGGTCAGGTAGCTGCGTCGGGTCAGGTGTTTGCTGCAGCGTCCAGGTCTGGTCCGGAGTCTGCTCCCTGCTCGTGTCGCCTCCTATCCCACGAGACCCTCTTGTGGCACCACAGGATGGGTCACCCCTCCCTGCCCCGTCTCCGGAGCATGGCCTCTCGCCTTCTTGTCTCTGGCCTTCCCCGGTCCCTCCCTCCCCTTCCTCCGGGGCCTGGCCCTCCCTGTGTCCCCTGTGTCGAGGGTCGCCTGCGGGCTACCCCTCACTTCCTCCCCCTTTCCTCCGACGGAGGCCCCGATGCAGACGCTTCACATGGACGTGTGGGGCCCAGCCCGCATCCGTGGACAGGGTCACGAGCGCTACTTCCTGCTGGTGATTGACGACTACTCGTGTTACACCACCGTCTTCCCCTTGCGCAGCAAGGGTGAGGTCATTGAGGTGTTGATCGACCGGATCCGCGCAGCTCGTCTCCAGCTCAGGCTGAGCTTCGGCTCGGACTTTCCTGTTTTGCGTCTGCACTCGGACAGAGGCGGAGAGTTCTCCTCCGGCCTTCTGCGAGCCTACTGTCGTGCACGAGGCATCCGCCAGACCTTCACGCTTCCGGACTCTCCACAGCAGAATGGGATTGCTGAGCGCCGCATCGGCATTGTCATGGACGTCGCCCGTACGTCCATGGTGCATGCGGCTGCCCCCCATTTTCTGTGGCCGTTTGCGGTGAGGTACGCCGCGCATCAGATCAACCTTCAGCCCAGGGTCTCCAGACCGGAGACCTCCCCAGCTCTGCTGTGGACGGGGAAGGTTGGAGATGCGTCGGCGTTCCGTGTCTGGGGATCTCGGGCGTTTGTCCGCGACTTGTCTGCGGACAAGCTGTCTCCTCGTGCTGCTCCTTGCGTCTTCCTGGGTTTCCCCCCTGACGCACCTGGGTGGCAGTTTTACCACCCCATCTCTCGTCGTGTTCTGTCCTCCCAGGACGTCACGTTCGACGAGTCGGTTCCCTTCTACCGGCTCTTCCTCTACCGCACTCCGTCCCTTCCCCCACCGCCCCTCTTCCTGGTCCCAGGTCCCCCCCCGGTAGACCCCCTCCCCCCTCAGGGTCCTGCCCCTTCAGGTGTGTCTTAGGTAGACGCGGTCGAGCCTGTTGAGGTCACTGGTGACTCTGGTGCTGCTGCGGGTGCGGAGCCTCGGGGTGCTGAGCCTGGGGGTGCTGAGACTGGGGGTGCTGAGCCTGGGGGTGCTGAGCCTGGGGGTGCTGAGCCTGGGGGTGCTGAGACTAGGGGTGCTGAGCCTGGGGGTGCTGAGACTGGGGGTGCTGAGCCTGGGGGTGCTGAGCCTGGGGGTGCTGAGCCTGGGGGTGCTGAGCCCAGAGGTGCTGAGTCTGGGGGTGCTGCGACTGGGGGTGCTGAGCCCTGGGGTACTGCGTCTCGGAGTGCTGCGCCTGCAGCTTCTGTTCCTGGTGGTTCGAGCCGCGAGCCGCTCTCTCCTCTGGAGCTGCGTGAGTGGTTTGCCCGGCGCTGGAGGCGCGCTGCTGGAGCTGGGGGTGCTGCGGGTGCTGGAGGTTCTGTTACTGCCAAGGGAGCTGGTACCACGGGTCCCGGAGGTGCTCGTACTGAGAGTACTGGAGCTGCCGGGCCCGGGGGTGCCTCTGGAGCTGGAGCTGCTGCGGGTGCTGGCGCTGAGTCTACGACTGTCGGTCCTACTGCGGGTACTTCTGGCGCTGCTGGAGGTGCTGGAGTTGGAGCTGCTACTGGTGCTGGTGCTGCCTCTGGAGGTGTTGGTGCTGTCCCTGCTGTCTCTGGCGGTGCTGCGCGGCCTCGGCCGTACTTCGTTCCGCTCCTCCAGCAGGTTCTTGGTCTCCCGCCTTCCACTGGTTCTTCTCCTCCCGTAGAGTGTCCACGGCCTGTCCTGTCGCAGTCACAGTTACAGCCCGCCTCTCCCCTGCCTTCTCCTTCTCCCTACACTGGTCCTATTGGAGGTCTTGCTGAGCGTCGTGAGCCTGCGTCCCGCCCTGCGTCGCCAGTCCGAGCTGCTCGCCCTTGTGGTCACGGTTCGCGTCAGCGTCCTCCCTGGCACACACCAGATGTCTCTGCGTCCGTCCACTGCTCCTCTGCGTGCCCCTTTGCCTTCTCCTCCTGAGTCTTCTCTTCCTACTCTTGCCGACCCGGAGTCGGACTCTCGCCGTGCTGCCAGTCCTACTGTCACGCGTCTTCTTGCTTCTCTTGTTACTGACCCTTCCTTTGAGTCCGCTGTTGCGTCTGCCCTAGTTGCGGAGCTGGTCGACTTTGCTGCTGCGTGTCGTTTAGACTACGCTGCCAGTCTTGTTGCTGAGTCTGCTGAATCTGCGTCTGCTGCGTCTGCGTGTGCCTGTCCTCCGTCCGTCGGGGGTGACTGTGCTCTTGGCACGGACGTCCTTGAGGACAGGCAGGAGGAGTTCCAGTGCTTTGCCGCCGCTTTGCCTCATCTCGTGTCCATGCTTGTTGCCCCTGAGGGAGACCCGGATGCTCTAGACATCCCGACCCCACGCTCTTACGCAGAGGCGATGGCCGGTCCCTACTCCTCTCAGTGGCAGTCAGCCATGGACGCAGAGATGGCTTCCTGGAAGTCCACAGGCACCTACGTTGACGCTGTTCCCCCTCCTGGGGCGAACATTGTCAGTGGCATGTGGATTTTCAGGGTGAAGCGGCCGCCGGGTTCTCCGCCTGTCTTCAAGGCGCGCTACGTGGCTCGTGGCTTCAGTCAGCGACAGGGAGTTGACTTCTTTCATACTTTCTCCCCGACCCCGAAGATGACCACTCTTCGGGTTCTGCTGCACATCGCTGCTCAGCGTGACTACGAGCTTCACTCTCTTAACTTCAGCACTGCTTTCCTGCAGGGTCGCCGGCACGAGGAGATCTGGCTGCGCCGCCCTCCTGGTTTCACTGGGTCGTTCCCTCCTGGTACCCAGTGGAGCCTCCGGCGGCCAGTCTACGGTCTCCGCCAGGCGCCGCGCGAGTGGCACGACACACTGAGAACTACACTTGCGGCTCTTGGGTTTGCTCCTTCCACTGCTGACCCGTCGCTGTTTCTGCGCACCGACACCTCGCAGCCGCCGTTCTACATCCTCGTGTACGTCGACGACTTGGTCTTTGCCACTGCGGACACTGCCGCACTCGCCCACGTGAAGTCCGAGCTGCAGAAGAGACACACGTGCACACACCTGGGTGAACTGACAAGCTATCTTGCCTTGCGGATCACCCGGGACAGAGCACGCTGCACCATTACCCTGACTCAGTCACACATGATGCAGCAGGTCCTTCAGCGCTTCGGCTTCACGTACTCCTCGCCTCTGTCCACTCCTCTGCCTACGGGACACTCGCTCTCAGCTCTGCCTTCGGATGAGTCCGTAGAGTCGAGTGGTCCGTATCCAGAGCTTGTGGGCTGCCTCATGTACCTGATAACCTGCACTCGACCTGACCTCGCATACCCTCTCAGCATCTTAGCACGCTATGTTGCTCCCGGCCGTCACCGGAAGGAGCACATGGATGCAGCTAAGAGGGTGTTGCGCTACTTGTGCAATACGTCGGGCATGGGGCTAGTGCTTGGAGGGCGTGAGCGGCCTGTGCTCACTGGGCACTCAGACGCTTCTTGGGCTAACGACCAGGCTACTCAGAGGTCGTCTCAGGGTTACACCTTCAGTCTTGGCTTTGGCTCTGTCTCTTGGCGCTCTACTCGCTCTTCTTCGGTTCTCAGCTCCAGTTGTGAGGCTGAGATCTACGCCACGGCCATGGCTGCCCAGGAGCTGCGTTGGCTCACCTACCGGCTGACTGACCTTGGAGAGCGGCCTCGTTCTCCTCCACTGCTGTACGTCGACAACAAGGCAACCATTGCTTTGTGTCAGGAGCACAGACTAGAGCACAGGACGAAGCACATTGCTCTGCGCTACTTCCTTGCTCGAGAGCTGCAGCAGCGTGGTCAGCTTCGCCTGCGTTTCGTGGCCACTGAGGCCAACACTGCTGATGTGTTCACCAAGGCACTTCCGCCTCGTGACCATCAGCGCTTTTGCACTCTGCTAGGTCTTGTGCCCATTGGGCCTCACTAGCTTACCTCTTGACCTTGCTTGTACTACTGCATTTATATATCCTTGCTCTTGCTTGTTTAGCACTGTTATATATATATGCTCTGCTGCATGTGAACTGGCCTTGTGGCCTTGACCTTGTGCTCGGAATTTGTGTGGTATCCTTGAGAACCACCCTCAGCTTGCTTTGCTTGTCTTGCTTGACTGGTCTTGTGACCCCTTGCTCTCCCCCACTTTGCCTATGGGGGTGTGTCAGATTATATTTAGCTGATGCATGTATTGTAGGCTGTAGAGGGGTAGCTCATATGGGATACAACCCAATTAGGGTTGGTACTTGTACTTGTTTCATTTTGATAGTGCCATTCACTTTCCTCTCAACTCAACACATGCTAGACCCTTGTTCTTTTTATTTTGCACACGCTAGGCCCTTGTTCTTGCTACTTCGCTAACGCTAGGCCCTTGTTCTTGATTTTTTGCACACGCTAGGCCCTTGCTCTTGCTATTTTGCACTCGCTAGGCCCTTGTTCTTGCAATTTGGCACACGCTAGGCCCTTGTTCTTGCAATTTTGCACACGCTAGGCCCTTGTTCTTTATATTTTGAACACGCTAGGCCCTTGTTCTTTTTATTTTGCACACGCTAGGCCCTTGTTCTTGCTATTTTGCACACGCTATGCCCTTGTTCCTTTTATTTTGCACACGCTAGGCCCTTGTTCTTGCAATTTTGCACTCGTTAGGCCGTTGTTCTTTTTATTTTGCACACGCTAGGCCCTTGTTCTTGCTATTTTGCACACGCTTTGCCCTTGTTCTTTTTATTTTGCACATGCTAGGCCCTTGCTCTTGCTATTTCACGAACACTAGGCCCTTATCCTTGATTTTTTGCACACGCTAGGCCCTTGCTCTTGCTATTTTGCACTCGCTAGGCCGTTGTTCTTGCAATTTTGCATACGCTAGGCCCCTGTTCTTGCAATTTTGCACACGCTAGGCCCTTGTTCTTTTTATTTTGCACACACTAGGCCATTCTTCTTGCAATTTTGCACACGCTAGGCCCTTGTTCTGTTTATTTTGCACACGCTAGGCCCTTGTTCTTTTTATTTTGCACACGCTAGGACCTTGTTCTTTTTATTTTGCACACGCTAGGCCCTTGTTCTTGCTATTTTGCACATGCTAGGCCCTTATTCTCTTTATTTTGCACACGCTAGGCCCTTGTTCTTGCAATTTTGCATATGCTAGACCCTTGTTCTTTTTATTTTGCACACACTAGGCACTTGCTCTTGCTATTTCGCGGACGCTAGGCCCTTGTTCTTGTTTTTTTGCACACGCTAGGCCCTTGCTCTTGCTATTGTGCACTCGCTAGGCTCTTGTTCTTGCAATTTTGCACACACTAGGCCCTTGTTCTTGAATTCTGCACACGCTAGGCCCTTGTTCTTTTTATTTTGCACACGCTAGGCCCTTGTTCTTGCAATTTTGCACACGCTAGGCCCTTGTTCTTGCAATTTTGCACACGCTGGGCCCTTGTTCTTTTTATTTTGCACACGCTAGGCCCTTGTTCTTGCTATTTTGCACATGCTATGCCCTAGTTCTTTTTATTTTGCACATGCTAGGCCCTTGTTCTTGCAATTTTGCACAAGCTAGACCCTTGTTCTTTTTATTTTGCACACACTAGGCCCTTGCTCTTGCTATTTTGGGAACGCTAGGCCCTTGTTCTTGATTGTTTGCACACGCTAGGCCCTTGCTCTTGCTATTGTGCACTTGCTAGGCCCTTGTTCTTGCAATTTTGCACACGCTAGGCCCTTGTTCTTGCAATTTTGCACACGATAGGCCCTTGTTCTTTTTATTTTGCACACGCTAGGCCTTTGTTCTTGCAATTTTGCACATGCTAAACCATTGTTCTTTTTATTTTGCACACGCTATGCCCTTGTTCTTGCAATTTTGCACACGCTAGGCCCTTGTTCTTGCAATTTTGCACACGCTAGGCCCTTGTTCTTTTTATTTTGCACACGCTATGCCATTCTTCTTGCAATTTTGCATACGCTAGGCCCTTGTTCTTGCAACTTTGCACACGCTAGGCCCTTGTTCTTTTTATTTTGCACACGCTAGGACCTTGTTCTTTTTTTTTTGCACACGCTAGGCCCTTGTTCTTGCTATTTTGCACACACTATGCCCTTATTCTCTTTATTTTGCACACGCTAGGCCCTTGTTCTTGCAATTTTGCACATGCTAGACCCTTGTTCTTTATATTTTGCACACGCTATGCCCTTGTTCTTGCAATTTTGCATACGCTAGGCCCTTGTTCTTTTTATTTTGCACACGCTAGTGTCAAAATTAGAAGAAAGAAAGAGGATTGAACTAGCAAGAATGAGGATACAAATAGCAAACCCTAGAAGGGTTGTACTCGCTATAGAGCACCCCACTACAGGCTAGAACAATAAGATAATATTCTGACAGCTAGGCCCTTGTTCTTGCTATTTTGCACACGCTAGGCCCTTGTTCTTGCAATTTTGCACACGCTAGGCCCTTGTTCTTGCAATTTTGCACACGCTAGGCTCTTGTTCTTGCTATTTTGCACACGCTAGGCCCTTGTTTTTGCAATTTTGCCCACGCTAGGCCCTTGTTCTTTTTATTTTGCACACGCTAGGTCCTTGTTCTTTCGATTTTGCACATGCTAGGCCCTTGTTCTTGTTATTTTGCACACGCTAGGCCCTTGTTCTTTTTATTTTGCACACGCTAGGCCCTTGTTCTTTATATTTTGCACATGCTAGGCCCTTGTTCTGGCTATTTTGCACACGCTATGCCCTAGTTCTATTTTTTTTGCACACGCTAGGCCCTTGTTCTTGCAATTTTGCACATGCTAGGCCCTTGTTCTTGCTATTTTGCACACGCTAGACCCTTGTTCTTGCTATTTTGCACACGCTAGACATTTGTTCTTGCAATTTTGCACACGCTAGGCCCTTGTTCTTGCGATTTTGCACACGCTAGGCCCTTGTTCTTGCAATTTTGCACACGCTAGGTCCTTGTTCTTGCAATTTTGAACACGCTAGGCCCTTGTTCTTGCAATTTTGCACACGCTAGGCCCTTGTTCTTGCTATTTTGCACACGCTAGACCCTTGTTCTTGCTATTTTGCACACGCTAGAGATTTGTTTTCGCAATTTTGCACATGCTAGGCCCTTGTTATTGCAATTTTGCAGACGCTAGGCCCTTGTTCTTGCAATTTTGCACAGGCTTGGCCCTTGTTCTTGCTATTTTGCACACGCTAGGCCCTTGTTCTTGCAATTTTGCACACGCTAGGCCCTTATTCTTGCTATTTTGCATACGCTAGATTCTTGTTCTTCCAATTTTGCACACGCTAGGCCCTTGTTCTTGCTCTTTTGCACATGTGAGACCCTTGATCTTGCATTTTTGCACACGCTAGGCCCCTCTTCTTGCTCTTTTGCACCCGCTAGACCCTTGTTCTTCCAATTTTGCACACGCTAGGCCCTTGTTCTTGCTATTTTGCACACGCTAGGCCCTTGTTCTTGCTATTTTGCACACGCTAGACCCTTGTTCTTGCAATTTTGCACACGCTAGGCCCTTGTTCTTGCTATTTTGCACACGCTAGACCCTTGTTCTTGCAATTTTGCACACGCTAGGCCCTTGTTCTTGCTACACGCTAGGCCCTTGTTCTTGCTATTTCCACACGCTAGACCCTTGTTCTTGCAATTTTGCACACGCTAGGCCCTTGTTCTTGCAATTTTGCACACGCTAGACCCTTGTTCTTGCAATTTTGCACACGCTAGGCCCTTGTTCCTGCTATTTTGCACACACTAGACCCTTGTTCTTGCAATTATGCATACGCTATGCCCTTGTTCTTGCTATTCTGCACACGCTAGACCCTTGTTCTTGCAATTTTGCATATGCTAGGCCCTTGTTCTTGCTATTTTGCACACGCCAGGCCCTTGTTGTTGCTATTTTACACACGCTAGGCCCTTGTTCTTGCAATTTTGCACACGTTAGGCCCTTGTTCTTGCAATTTTGCATACGCCAGACCCTTGTTCTTGCAATTTTGCACACGCTAGGCCCTTATTCTTGCAATTTTGCACACGCAAGGCCCTTGTTCTTGCAATTTTGCACACGCTAGGCCCTTGTTCTTGCAATTTTGCACACGCTAGGCCCTTGTTCTTAAAATTTTGCACACGCTAGGCCCTTGTTCTTGCAATTTTGGGCACGCTAGGCCCTTGTTCTTGCATTCTTGCACAGGCTAAGTCCTTGTTCTTGCTATTTTGCCCACGCTATGCCCTTGTTCTTGCTATTTTGCACACGCTATGCCCTTGTTCTTGCTATTTTGCACACGCTAGACCCTTGTTCTTGCAATTTTGCACACGCTTGGCCTTTGTTCTTGCAATTTTGCACACGCTAGGCCCTTGTTCTTGCAATTTTGCATACGCTAGGCCCTTGTTCTTGCAATTTTGCACACGCTAGGCCCTTGTTCTTGCTATTCTGCACACGCTAGACCATTGTTCTTGCAATTTTGCACACGCTAGGCCCTTGTTCTTCCTATTTTGCACACGCAAGACCCTTGTTCTTGCATTTTTGCACACGCTAGGCCCTTGTTCTTGCAATTTTGCACACGCTAGACCCTTGTTGTTGCAATTTTACACACGCTAGGCCCTTGTTCTTGCTATTTTGCACACGCTAGACCCTAGTTCTTGCAATTTTGCACATGCTAGGCCCTTGTTGTTGCAAATTTGCACACGCTAGGCCCTTGTTCTTGCAATTTTGCACACGCTAGGCCCTTGTTCGTGCAATTTTGCGCACGCTAGGCCCTTGTTCTTGCAATTTTACACACGCTAGGTCCTTGTTCTTTCTATTTTGCACACGCGAGACCCTTGTTGCATTTTTGCACACGCTAGGCCCTTGTTCTTGCTATTTTGCACACGCTAGACCCTTGTTCTTGCTATTCTGCACACGCTAGGCCCTTGTTCTTGCTATTTTGCACACGCTAGACCCTTGTTCTTGCTATTTTGCACACGCTAGACCCTTGTTCTTG